TTTTCGACATGCATTTGATTTTCAAAATCCAATAATTTCTAAGGCCTTTTGTTAGTACTTATATAAGTATATATAATAATAATGGTAACATTCATTTCAAAGCCATCTTCATCCCTAATTAAGGCTCAAAGTGCAATGAAATACAAAACGCAACAATACAAAATCTACATATATTATATAACGCACCAAACACAGTTGCGTTATGTGATGACCGCAATATGTCAGCGTGAACTTCCCCGCTGACATATTACCTGACTCCCACTCCAGTAGCACCTTATTCCAGTGCAATTCCTGCAACAGTTAAGTGAATGTGTGTGTGTTATACCACACTATTCACTTCTAGGATTGATAAATGATAAACTTACTTGTTGAAAACTTATTCAGTAAACCGTCCTATTTACTCGAGTCATAAAAGAATACAATTAAAAAAAATAAAAAAAAAACTTTCTCCATTATATTTCTCCATCTTACATATATTTCGCTTCAGGTGTGACGGCTTCCTATTCCCAAATAACACTCTCCTACTAAACATGTTTTATATTAATATTACCGAGTGAAAAAATAAAATAATGCAGTGAACGTCGGTTGAACTTAAGTAAAAATGTTAATTTTCCTTCGGAGGCAACTATTATTAATCCATAAAGAACCACGAGAATTAATCCATAAAGAACCACGAGAATTAATCCATAAAGAACCACGAGAATTAATCCATAAAGAACCACGAGAATTAATCCATAAAGAACCACGAGAATTAATCCATAAAGAACCACAAGAATTAATCCATAAAGAACCACGAGAATGGTGGAGGACTTTCTGTAGGACTTTTGTTTAAATGCCAACGGGTAGGATAAAGGACTGTCTGTAGGACTATTGTTTAAGTGTTTTATATGTAAGGTGTGAGAATGTGCGTACGCCTAATGGCGGGCATATGTTGCAGAAAATGAGAAGTAAACTTTTTTTTTTTGGTAACACTTAGACAGACTGGGTTAAAAAAAATTGACCCCAGTTAAGCCCTAGTCTCTGATATATTTTGCTTATGGTCTTTCCTGGTTCCTTCCTCAAATCCACATTTTCTATATTAATAGTACTAAGTGGAGAAAAAAAAACTGTCAAGAAGCAAGCTTTCATGCGTGACATTTCAAACGCGTTCAGGTTTATTTATTTATAAAGACGGTGCGCCTTTTATATTAATCAATAAACAGCTACAGGTATGGTGTAGGACAGTCTGTAGGACTAATGTTGAAAGGTCGGCAGGTATGGTATAGGAGAGTCTGTAGGACTATTGTTTAAAGGACATCAGTAAAGGTGTAGGACTGTCTGTACATATATTATTTAAAGGCCAACAGGTATGGTGTAGGACAGTCTGTAGGACTAATGCTTAAAGGCCGGCAGGTATGGTGTAGGACTGTGTACGCCTTTTGTTTAAAGGCCGGCATCTATGGTAGAAAATAAGAAGTTAACACTTTTTTTTTTTGTAACACTTGGACCAAACGGGCCTTTGATCTAATTACCGAGACCTGGTGTAAAAAAAGGAATCCGGTTAAGCCCTAATGTTTAATCTTCTAATAAGGGGCGGGGACTGCAATCACAAGACAAAAACCTTTACCAAGATAAACATATAGCTGGAAACCAATTTCTACCCCATTAAGATGTAGTCCAATAAGCCCATGAGCCACATGTTTAAACTACGGATCAAGCGTTTCATCTTCACAGAGGTTTGTTAAATATGACTTTGTGTGGCCATTATTTTACTAATGTGAGTTTAATAATGTTGTGTAGTATACTTTTTCCCCGTCCTTGAACTTTGTTCGACCCAACATTAGATTCCTAGCAGACGGTGGCGTTTGTTGTGGGCGTGGTTAATCTCTTTGATGTATCGTGTTTACTACCAAAGACCAAATAAACATGGTTAGTATGTCTCCAAGTCTCTTGTCGAAGGTTCTCGATTTGCCATAAAAGGTAAACAAATGCTGAGTAGCTTCTGGAAGGCTGGGCTTACGCTGCATATATAAAAGGATTGACAGACATGGAGAGAGAGAGCGAGAGAGAGAGATAGATAGAGAGAGAGAGAGAGAGAGATAATTCAGATATATATTATTAACTTTACGAGACAATTGCATTATTCTTTGTGTGCTCATATGTTTTTATTCGCATTCATCATTCATCATTATTAATTGGCACATTGTACTAATTGTGTACCGGTACAAGATTATCCGATATTCTGTAAGTTGATGATTTGTAATTATATTTTTTGTTTGTTTTGTAGTTGTATTATTAATAAATTAAATCTTACTAATTGTAATTGGCAAATGTTTTGGGTGTCGTATTTTTGTTATTGAATTTCTCTATGGTATCGTCCTTTGTTAGGCACTGTTTGAACGAGCCATAAAATTTAAATAGGAGATTAATTTCTCACAAAAGAAGCCTATGCGTAATGATATATATTCCTAATTGTATTACACAATTTGCCTCAGCTTTCAAAGGGTTAACTACATATTTTGAGATATAATAGTCCATAAGATTTAATGAAATAAAAAAAAGAAAACATGCCCCCCGCCTTGAAAAACATTTTTTTTTTTTCGTTTAGTAACAAATTGAAATTTAAAAACAATATGCGTATATTGATACTCGAATGATTAGAAGAAGATTGTGATTTTGTTGCTGATCCATTATTCTCTGGAAGTATAAGTATTTTGAGATTAGGAGAGGAATGTGTTTAAGGTTGACTAAAGGGTGGGGGTGGGACGAGGTTATTGTGAGCAGGTTCTGTGTACGGGGTTGTATTTACGAAAAGAATTTGATTTGAGTTTAGTGATAGGAAATAGAGTTTTGTGATAGGAAATAGAGTTTAGTGATAGGAAATAGAGTTTAGTGATAGGAAATAGAGCTCAGTGATAGGAAATAGAGTTTAGTGATAGGAAATAGAGATTAGTTATATGAACTAGAGTTTAATGATAAGAAATAGAGTTTAGTGATAGGAAATAGAGTTTACTGATATGAAATAGAGTTTATTGATAGGAAATAGAGTTTAGTGATAGGAAATAGAGTTTAGGATAGGAAATAGTGTTTAGTGATAGGACATAGAGTTTACTGATAGGAAATAGAGTTTAGTGATATGAAATAGAGTTTAGTGATATGAAATAGAGTTTAATGATAGGAAATAGAGTTTAGTGATATGAAATAGAGTTTAATGATAGGAAATAGAGTTTAGCGATAGGAAATAGAGTTTAGTGATAGGACATAGAGTTTAGTGATAGGAAATAGAGTTTAGTGATAGGAAATAGAATTTAGGGAGATGAAGTTGAGTACAGAGAGTGAAATTTGAGTTGATTGGGATAAAGCTGAGTTTAGGAAGATGATATTGATTTTCGGGAGATAAAGTTGCGTTTATACAGTGAGGTCACCTTAATAACTCATTAAAAGTCCCTTCTTGTGTACCAAAAGAAGTGAGACACATATATCAATTGCTGTCAATAGTTTTGAAACGATCGCATTTTGTTTAAAACTCCGCATTCCCCTTGTAGTCGCGTCTAGCGAAGAGTTTAGAGACGGGACACTACTTATCTTGCCTAATATTACGCATCATTCCCCTTGTAGTCGCGTCTAGCGAAGAGTTTAGAGACGGGACACTACTTATCTTGCCTAATATTACGCTTAAACTCCGCATTCCCCTTGTAGTCGCTTCTAGCGAAGAGTTTAGATACGGGACACTACTTATCTTGCCTAATATTACGCATCATTCCCCTTGTAGTCGCGTCTAGCGAAGAGTTTAGAGACGGGACACTACTTATCTTGCCTAATATTACGCTTAAACTCCGCATTCCCCTTGTAGTCGCGTCAAGCGAAGAGTTTAGAGACGGGACACTACTAATCTTGCCTAATATTACGCTTAAACTCCGCATTCCCCTTGTAGTCGCGTCTAGCGAAGAGTTTAGAGACGGGACACTACTAATCTTGCCTAATATTACGCATCACGCAATCTTTTTTTTTTTCGTTTTGCCTGTATCTAATCTCTCGCCTACTTACTTTATGTCACAGTTCTTTTGCCGGCCTCTCAGATACTGCTTTTCAGCTAAGTGCCATTTTTATTTAATTCATTTTTTTCCTGTTGTTTGCTCGCTGATAAACACTTCCTGCCGACACGTTCGTTGTTCAGATTTTACAATACTTTGTTTTACTTATTTCCCCTTTTTGCTAACTAAATTTTAGTATCTCTCCTTTATTACCATATCAGGAATGGAACATTTCGTCACAGACAATTTGTCACCGACATTATGCCCTCATTCATTTTACGAAGTGCAATAAGTGGGAATTGTTATAATTTAAATTATTTGAATCACAAAAGTGATCATACACGTTAAGAGGTGATACGCAAGATGTTTAGATTTGAAAGCGCAAATACATTAGTACCCCGATATAACGCAAATTTGAATTATAGCGACTTTGATTCCTACCAATTGTTACAAAAGTACTTAAAGACAACAAATAGATTAAAATATTTAGTCTCATAGAAAACAAAATAAGCGATCCACTTAAACCCATTTAAATTTAAACCGAATATCTCATTGACCATTAGTCATTAAAATAAGTATTATTTTTCAAAGAAATGACATTTTTTTTTTCTACTTTAAAAATAATTTTGTAAAAACAATTCGCAAGGAATATTGTAAACTCTACTATAGTGCTCCCCTCTATAGCACCCACAATAACAAGTTTTGATTTGATGTACCCAACTACCACGCTATCGTGGAGGTCTATTACAAACCTATCATTAGTTTCTACACCTGTTTCTACACATCTCTCACATTATTGGTGTGCCACTTAAAGCTATTACGTTTCTGTGTTATCGTAAATGAGGTGCTTACATCGGGGGGGGGGCTGTTTAAGATAATGCTAATGTCTTCTGTTGGTTTTACATGCCCAACAATGTTTATACCGTAAATGGGTGACAAAGGAGAGGTCAACTCAGCACGCGATGTGTTTACTGATAAGGTAGGCTACACAGGGGATCGTTGTGTCACTGTTTAGGTCATTCAATTCTCAAAGTAACTATATAATTGATATTTTTTTTAAAATCTCATTACAATTGTGGCTTTATTATTTAAAAAAAAACAACAACACTTTTTAACTAATTATTAACCTTAAAAATGTCAGACACTTTTACTAGTAAACGATAACAAAATAAAATGAGGTGTGAAATTTATTGAACCAAGTTAAAAGGGAACAACATAAAATAAATAATTTAGGATTTTCCCAGAGGAATATTTCCGTTTCCATTGACCTGTCAATAAATCAGCAAGTTGTATTTATTTTGTTTTGTCTTTTAATTTACCCTTGTCAGTAATAACATTACAATTAATCAAAGGAAATTTGTTATAATTTGAAAAGAAACCTTGAAAATGTTCAAGATAATCTCATTGTTAAAATAGAAAATTTAATTTGACTACCCTTAAATTTATCCCATGCTAGTCAATGGAAGAGAAAGGAATTTTTAAATGGCCTTGCCATATGTTTACACTTCAAAACCTATTGTATTTTGTTTATTACAAAATTTTAGTTCCATTGATAATAGCTATATTGTGCTAACCTTTAACCCACTTGAAATGACCTTAAAATACTTATTTCATTTCTAAAACTGATCGAGGGAAAGTATTTTATATCATAAACCATCATATTTTTATTGTGTAAAATAACTTTTTTTCTTTGCTAGTTTTAAATTTATTCGTAAGTAAATTAATCATGGTTTTAATTTCCACAATAAACATACGTCTGAAGAAATTTGTATTAAATACAAAGCATTGACATCGTAAAGCCGGCCCCTGTGGGGATTGGGGGGGGGGTGGGGGTTAAGGCTAGCCCGGGCGGCTTTCTTTCTCTTTCCAAATGCAGAGCTTTTTCGTGCCAGAAGAGTAGCGAAACTATTGGCCCAACCTTAGCAATGCAGCTGATGTTGAGATCCAAAATTATTTTACTTTCGTGTAGGTTTTCCCAAAGCACCGTTTGTTAATTATGATCAGACTGATGTGAAGAAAAGGATATCTGATTAAATTTTAGTATACTCCTAATTCATATAGAACGATTTAGAAAATGCAAAAGAGAAGAAAGATTTAAATAACACCGAGAGACTTCATCCCATTCATATTCAGTTGATAAACTATCAACACAAAAAAGAAGGAGTTGCGAAACTAATATACTAAAAAAATCGATGCTTTTAATATTTAGAGAAATCAAAATGTTTACCATTTGTGAAATGTTCTGTTAACGGGATTTACTCTAGGATTAATGAGACGTACACATTTCGTTTTAGTTACACATAATTTTTGTATCTCATTAATCTACTTGAAATTTTTATTTTTAAAGTTATCGCAGTCCAACGCTTTTATCATTTATTACATCATTTAAATACAGGTTTTTAAGAAAGTCCAATTTATATATATTGTAAATAAAAGAAGAACTTTAAAAACATCATTTTTCGATGGCCATGTAATATGCCACAGATCCAAAGGACAAGACAGCACATTGTTTGAGAACACCTGGAACATTCAATAATACATGATGGACATGATAAAACAAGGAATTTAATCAAATTTGATCGCACTTTGCTTTCTCGTGATATATTTTTATTTAACAATTTTCTTCTAATATCCTCAGATTAATTTAGAATCAAAAAGATATAAACACCAGCATGTTGACAAAACCAGAAATAGCCTGTGCCATCATTGAAGGTATAGCATCCGTTAGAGAAGATGAAGAACTTCAGGATTTCGTTGTTGAAGTTGAAGGCACAGAATTTAAATGTCATCGTCTGATACTCAGCGCGTGTTCTGGATTTTTCCGTGGTCTTCTCAGGTCTGGGATGAAAGAGTCGCAGGAACATAGGACAAAGCTTGATGGCGTCTCCATGGAAACGTTCACAGCCATTTTAGAAACTCTCTACACCGGATGTGACAATCTGACACGTGACAACATAAGAAGTGTCTGGTTGGCTGCAGATCAATTTGAAATAACACCTGTCTTTGATAATTGTGTAAATGTCATTAAAAAAATATTTGCAATACAACTGTCATTTCTTATTGGATAGTAGCATCTCAAATGATGCACCAAAATACCATAGAACTTTGCGAATCGTTTCTCATAAACAACACAACTTTAGAAAACTGGGAAATTATATATTCCACTGCACACAGCTTGGGATCAAAATTTATTTTGTCACATTTACGAGATTTTATTAAGAACAATTATCAACACGTCATCAAATCCAATGCTTTTCTACATCTTCGGGAAAACGATTTAATTGAAATAATAAAAAGTCAAGATCTGGTTGTGCCTAAAGAAGATGTTGTCATTGAGTCTATTCTAAATTGGGTCAAAAATGGGAATCAAAGTAGATCTGAGACGACGGCTGAAGATCAGATTGATGATGGAAGTAGTGTTTCAGTTGAAAATGAACAAAGCAGACAGACTGAAAAAAACTTACGACAATCACTAGACCAAAATAAAATTGTTGGATGCAAAGGGAAGAACGCAGCATTAAAATTGGCAAATATAAACAAAAATCGCTTGAGATGTCTTGAACGTTTCCTTTCAGAAACAAGATTGTGCCTTGTTAGTTCTATCACTCTGGAAAAATTATCACGTGATAATCTATTAATGGACAACAAAAGAATCCGGGCAATGGTGATGGACGCCGCCTTATATAAGTCTATGGGACAACAACATGGTCAGAGTCTGAAGGCAGCCGTTCATAGAAGTTGTAGTGGCTTAACGAATGTTGGAGTCGTAGGTAGACAATATGGAAATTTTAATACTTTTTCATTTCAACCTGAATTTCAATGGCTAAACCTTTCAAAATGTACATTTCTGGTCAACTGCACCTGTGTGAAATTAATTGCATACCAGACATATTTTATTGCTGTCGGTGATTTAGTAGAGTATAGCAGCGTGTGTGTTTTTGTACAAAATGAATGGCGTGAACTCATGATTCTATCAAGTCACGGATGGCTGGGTGTAGCTGTTGAAGAATTTATCTATTTAATTAATTCTTCTAATCAACAAATAAAAAGATTTGATCCAAGAAATTTTAACTGTCTACTTGAAGACTTCATTAGTTTCCCCAAACAGAATAAAATAGAACACGTCTGTTCATTTGATTTTTTCATACTTGCATTCTGCTCAGAGGAAATTGACGAGACAGCTGTACATTGTCTTGACACAAGGTCTCAGACATGGACAAGACTTGACAGCCTGGAAGGATCAGCCAACAATATGCATAGTTTCAGAGAAGAGAAACAATTATATATTCTACAAGCTAATGGCAACCTTTGGGAAATTAACATAGAAGAGATGAATGGGGTACATTTAAAGTTAGTTGAGGTTCTTTGGCAGGGCACATCCAAAGTGTTTGGCGTCATCTATATTGACGAACGTCTTTGCCTTTGCTTTAGTAAAGAATCAGAGAATGATGTAGCCTCGTCGTCAACTTCAAAACTTTTTGCTAAGATCAGCAATGTCTTTAGTCCAACTCAATTTCTTCCGTGGTCTAATATTGTACCCGCAGTCGTAAAGTCACATTCTAGGTAATCATTTGCCTTGAGATATCGTAAAAATTGAATTATTTCACTAAATTTTGTATGTCAAAAAAACAGAAAATGGCTTGCAATAGTTGGATGTAGTTAAACACAGGCGTCGAACAGACAAAACATTGACACAGAAACCTCAGTATTTGCGATTTGGGTGCTAACTCTGAACGCGCTTTTAACTTGGCTGACTATACTCTAATCCCCTCTGTGACTTTCTCTTTCGTTTTCTCATCTCTCTTCTTCCCACTTTATCAAAATACATTCGAAAAGTTTCAATCCCTCCCACACATGTCTATTTAAAATACTGTAATCTTCCCTAATACAATATTATAAAAACAGATCGTGTTCGTAAAGTACAATTTTGCTCTCAAAATGACTTTAGACAGGGTGGCTCTGGTAGTACATATGAAAGTTGAAATTATCAGTGTATTTCATCTATTAGGTTAATATAGAGTGACAGAAAAAAACTATGTTGACACAGTTATGAGTGTTATGAAATATATCAATACCTATACATTTTTAAATTAAATTAACTTGAAACAGTTAAAATTTGTTAATATTGCAATTGTTAATTTTCTTTAAATTAATTCTCATCATTAATATTAATAAATTAACATCTGAACATTCACATTTATCAATCTCATTACTGATATTCTTAATTTTTATTCATTACTCATTTTGTTCATCTAATTATAAAACATTTTATTTGGTCATTTAATTGAAGATTATTTTTATTCTTTCTTATTTATTTTTTTTTATTTTAAATCTTAACAAATAATTGTTGTTACATTTCAGAATTTAAAAAAAAACAAAAAATTTTACTTATCTTTTTTTGTTTCTTAATCAAATTCTTTGTTAATAAATCCCTGGAGCTGAGCTTATTCTGAAAATTATTTCTATTTGTAAATCTGAGCCTAAATATTTTTATTTTTATTCTTTGAAATCATTTATCTCATTATTGACAATATTTTATGAACGATTTTTAGTTTTTAGCATCTTTGTTTGCTATTATAATTTTCAAAATTAATACTTGTTCATCAATTTCTCAAAAATCAAATGTGTAAATTACATTCTGAACATTCAGATATTTTATTTTTATTCTAGAAAACAAAAGGTTTAATTTTTTTTATTTTATTTTGAATTTTAGTTAATTAAATCTCATCCTCGTAATTTAAAATATAATTATATTTATTAAATTTTGTTTGTCTAGTTAAATGGATTGAATTTTATCAATCCAATTATGTGCTTTAATAAACAAAATACTTATTTTAAAAAATCATATTTTTTAAAGTTCTTGTGCGTTGAGTTATTCTAATCTTGATTATTATTAACATTTTTTTTTTTTTAAATTTGTGTTTGTAATGTAAACATTAACGGGCTCGTCTAAAAAGAAAATAGACCTTGAATTGGAAACTTTTAAAGTTTATATTTCCAAACTGTAAAAATAACTTTACTGTTCGCAAATCTCATGGTTGTACACAGATTTTGTTTATGTTCGTAATTTTATTACAACGAAAAAAATGATTCATTTTGATTTTTTTAATGTAACATTTATGTTACAAATTCTATCCTATCGAAAGCTCATTATTTTTTATTTCCTAACACTCTAGTTATCGCAAGTACTTATGTTACCACAAAATGCACGTCGAGGATAATAAATGTAGAGATTTTTAACTTAAGCAACGTGCCCCCTTTTTTTATGACGTGAAGCGTGTGCCGGGATGGTTGCTACAAATGTTCACATGTCGTTCCTAATGATTTGCTTGAAATTTCTTTGTTTCGGATTGTTTTTTGGACTTGATGTCAAGTGGAGTAACCAAATATCCTTCACTAGAGAAATGAGTATCGGAGTGTCACAAGTCTACGTTCTATGCCCTGTCATCGATACAATATATACCAATGCTATCCAGAGCCCAAGCAACACCTTTCCAATCATTAAGTTTACTGATGATACAGAAAAAACATTAGACTAACATCTAAAGTGAAAATCTTTTACCGTTATTTAGTTACAAGCTTTATCAGTTGGTGCGATGAAAATTTCCTCCAGTTGCACATTTAAAAAACCATAGAAATGTTTTTTTTCTTCCATAAATGAATAAAATAGCGAAACGAGGTATGTGGAAGCTTGAAATAAGGTAACAGGACAAAAAACAAGGACGTTTCGGCATAAAGCCTTCCTCAGCCAACAATAGAAATGAAAATATAACGAAGAAAAGAGCACAGTAGACAACTCAAGCAGTATTCATTCGTGGTTTTTTTCCAGCAGGGGGAATCAATAAATAGCAGAACTTACAATAAACGTCACAGTATATAACAAGTAGTGACATGTACGGACCTAGGTGTCACCATTTATAACAGGCTGAAATAGGATGATAAAAGTCAATTTATGTATAAAAATTCAAATCAAAGACGTTTCTATCTTTAACATTTTACAAGTTCTGCTGGAACAAACAAGTTATTAACTTATTCTAAAGTACAGCAATTGGAAGCCAATAAAACTTCAGTATTACCAGCTGGTGTGGGAATTAATCGTCTGACATCGAACAACGATGAAATAGACCAATCAAGAAAGATCGTAAGATCACACAAACTAAACTAGAGACCGACCGAGAGGGATTTTCTGATTTTAGCGAAACCAGGCCGAAAGTTAAAAATGGCTTTCGACCGAAACCGAAAGATTAACGAGACTTTCGGTCGAAACCGAAAGATTTAGTTATCATTAAATTCGTTCAAGCAAAGATTCTGCATACTTCGAAAAATAATGGGTGGCAGTAACAATATTTATATTCGTTTTTATAAAAAATTAGATCATGGAGGATATTAATGAACAATTAATGCTTTGGCGTTTACCATTTTAATTAAAAGTACTTTAAATTTCTTTTAAAAAGTATTTTAAAGTAGTATGGTGAAAATGACCTTTTTGACCTCCCCCCCCCTTCCGGGGGGGATTCATGCAAAATAGATCCTTGAGTGTCCTTTGCTTTTAAAATATAATTACAACCCAGACATATATAGCTACAATAATTATTATGGCTCTGATAGAGGCAATGGTCACTTAAATACCATTTATTAAGGCTATAAAAAGATCACCACAATGTTTCACGGTTATCGTCATACTAATGTCTTGTGTTTTCATAAATAGCCTTCAAGATATCACTGTATTAATATTTAGCCCCGTACCAACACATTTTGTTCCCCATGCTTGTCACTAAATAATTTAGTTCGACGCCCAACCTACCTCACCTCAACATCGTTTGGTTGGGGGGGGGGGCATATTTTAAAATCGGGTCTCTTAAAATTGTTCTTCTGACGGGTCTTGGAAAATCGCAAAGGAGCCCTTCAAAATCGTAAAGTGGTCGCCAAGATCCTAATAGTTAACAGGTCTGAAGTAAGTAAACTGCATAATTATTATCGGAGCCCGTGATACATCACCACCCGGCGCGTTATTTCGTCAACAACACTGTTGGTGAACTTGATAGTGAGACCTTGAGAGAAGTGAATCATTTCAAAAAGACTGTTTCCTTAATTTTTATTTAAACAAAATAATAATGGACACATTACCATTCTCCAGGATTATTCAATATTGTTCACCTTGTCTATGATCATATTGATGAGCATGATAATGCTAAACCAAAATACGTATCACAAATGAAGGAATTGAAGAAACCTAGGGCTCAAAATTTTTATTTTTGAAAACAAAAATTATGATATACATAATATTAGTTCCGTAGATTCTTCCACAAAACTATTTACGTTTGCCTAAGCCAGTGGTCGAAAACTGGTGGCACGCGACCCGCGTGCGTCTCTTTAGCGACCTGAGTGCGGGTCGGCCTGTCGGCCACAAATCGGTGTTGACTTGTAAAGATATGATTCTTGACAGGTTCTTTCAAAAGAAATTTGGCTCTCGTCCTGCTGCTGATTTTTGGATCTTTTAATCAATTAGTTTGCCGACCACTGGCCTAGGCTTAATTGAAATGTAATTTTTGGAAATAAAGGACAAGTAGGTCATCATGTAGCTGTGAGAAAATTTCGTAGAATATTAATCATATAACATAAAATGACGTCGAGAAATAATGAATGTCAGATTGTCGGTCTAGAGACACAGACAGACAGTCTGACTACTGTTAGATAACCGAACACCTCAATTACTATTGGCCAGATGCCCGAAAGTCTCAATCACTTTCGGTCAAAACCGAAATTAAACCAAAAGTTAACTTTTCTGTTTTGACCGAAACCGAAACTAGGCCGAAAGTGATCAAATGGCAACTTTTGGCGCAGAAATTGAAGCCGAATTCGGTTTGTCTCTAAACTAAACATACTTCACTTGGAGAAATATTTGAAGAAAATGCTGATGTAACACAACAAAAAAAACAAAAACATTTGAATAATGCATCCCACATACTTGATCACAGACACCTAAGATCAGCTAAACCAAGCCGTATTCTTTCTCTTTGAGTTAAGACCAAGAGATATAAAATTGTTTCGTTCCCCATACTGTGGTCCCCTAGCGGTTACCGAATCTAAATTATCACACATAAAGTCATCATTGTCAGAAAAGGAGTTCATCTGTGGCTGATTTCGACGCAAGAGAACTACTTTAAAGGTCTTGTGTTTAAATTGTTATAATTTTAAAGGATGTCTTGTTTAACGTTGTATTTATTTATGAGCTGAAAATGAATATGTACAATGAAATAAAGAAAAACATGTCGATTTCTTCGGATCAATAAAAGAGTCGCATCTTATCTGTCTTTATCCGGTTTTATGGGGGTGGTTAAAATGTAAATTTTGTGTTATTTAATAAGTGCACGACACCTCAGATGCAACAGTGTACTTAAACAAACTTTATATATTGATGTGAAGTGCTAATGGCATAAAGGAAAGTAACACAATTAGGTGGAACATGTTTAAAAATATATTTTAATTTCCTCAACATATCTAATAATTTTTGTTTAAGTCAACATTGGAGGGTCACGTGAACGCAGCGGGAAAAGAATTAAAAACTTTTTTTTAGTTTTGTTTCTACAGCTTTCATCAGTGACTGAGACATTTGGAACCCTTAGACCTATTAGACTCAGGGACAGGTGTGAAAGTATCACTACCACTTTCATCAGTGACTGAGAAATTTGGAACCCTTAGACCTATTAGACTCAGGGACAGGTGTGAAAGTATCACTACCACTTTCATCAGTGACTGAGACATTTGGAACCCTTAGTCCTATTAGACTCAGGGACAGGTGTGAAAGTATCACTACCACTTTCATCAGTGACTGAGACATTTGGTACCCTTAGTCCAATTAGACTCAAGGACAGGTGTGAAAGTATCACTACCACTTTCATCAGTGACTGAGACATTTGGAACCCTTAGTCCTATTAGACTCAAGGACAGGTGTGAAAGTATCACTACCACTTTCATCAGTGACTGAGACATTTGGAACCCTTAGTCCTATTAGACTCAGGGACAGGTGTGAAAGTATCACTACCACTTTCATCAGTGACTGAGACATTTGGTAC